CTAAACGTTATTAAAGTTGATTTTGCCGCTCTGGAAGGCGAATTTTAGAGCATTTTCGTGCATACCCAGTATGTATTTCGAATTTCTTTTCAGTGCGAAATTCGGAGCATTTTCGTGCGTGCTCAGTATGTATTTTAAACAATAATTTCAGAACATTTCAATAATTCGTTACTTTTCGTTCTTCGCCTGAGCAGAGTGGATTATCCCTTTTCAGGTAAGTGAAAGTAATTTTATTTTTCAGTTGTTTTAAACACTTAACGATTTTAAGTGTTTGAAACGATTTTTAGTTTTTAAAATTATGTTTTTGTAAGGACTGGATTTTCATATTTGAAAATTTTTTGGAAGTGAAAGTATTAATTTTTCAGGGTTTTTGTAAGGATTTTATGTTCTTTAAACTTACTATGTTTTTGCAATGATTTAAGTTTTTTATTAGGTTTTTTTTGAAAAGATTTCCAGTTTTAAAAATTTCCCACTTATTTGTTCGGCACTTTTTACAAGAGTATGAAGAATTGGATTTTTGTCAATTTCCTTTGACTTTTTAAATGAAAATAGGTCGATGTGTATGGACAGTCAAGGGAGTGCGCAATGCCATTTTTGTGCAATTCTGGGATGATTTTTTTTAAGTGAAAATAGGTCGATGTGTACATGGATAAAGACAGTGCACAATGCCGTTTTTGTGCAATTCAGGAATTTTTATTTGAGTGAAAATAGGTTGATGTGTACATGGATAGATTCAAGACAGTGCGCAATACCATTTTTGTGCAATTCTGGGATGTTTAAGTGAAAATAAGTCGATGTGTACATGGATACTGAGTTTGTGCAATTCTTAAACACACGTCAAGCAGTGGGTTATTCTGCACTTTCCCCAATTTTTTTATAGGTGAATGTATTTTAATTCTTCAGTGTTTTGTAATGATTTTAAGTTTTTGAAGCTTACTATGTTTTCTTAACCATGTTTGTTTTTTAAAATTATTAAGCTGTTTTTAAAGGATTTTCAATTTTCAAAATTTTGCTTCAATTTTTATTTTGTATTTATTTTAACTGTTCGCCATTGTAAATGTTGCACCTTGCGTAGTATCTTCTGGAGGGTTTGCAAATCCAGGAAACAAGACGCGAGAGTGCGTCAATTTGGCGATTTTGAAAAATGCACCAAGCAGTGGCAATTTTGCACTTTCCCCATTTCATATTTACGTTTTATATTTTACATAATATACACTCATGTCCAAAATTATCTTTACATACCCAAAAATGATGATATTCAATGAAATATCGAATCAATGTGATCCGTATTTGCAGGGAATGTGTGAAAACCAAGCCTAATTAGCATTATCCAATCAAAAGTAATCAGACGGTTTGTGATATGCAAATCTAGGCGTTACGTCATCCAAGGGTGAATCAAGCGCTTTTCGCAAACTGAATATTTGAGTGAATTTCTGCAACATAGCGTTTGATTTCAGTGTGTAGGGACTCAAAGCGGTTTGTTATGGCTTCGAAGTATCATTTGGAAGAATCTGTAAAGTGGCGAATTATCGGCCGTTTAGAAGCAGGGCAGTCAATCATGGAAACAGCCACATGTCTGAATATTTCAAGACAGACAGTCTCTAAGCTGTGGAAACAGTTTTAAAATGATGGAAGTGTTGTAAGGAGGCCCGGACAAGGTCGGAAACGAATGACAACTGCTTCTGAAGATCGGTATCTGGCATTAACTGCCCGTCGTAACAGAAAGGCTACTGCTCGCCAGTTAAGTTCAGAGCTTGCAGCCGCCACTGGAACTGTTGCATCACGGCAAAAAATATACAGAAGGGTTAATGAAAAAGGCCTTTATGCCAGAAAACCAAGGGTATGTGTTTTACTGTCTTCACAGAAAGAGAGGGATCGCTTTAATTGGTGTAAAGAACATCAAAACTGGACTGAACATCAATGGTCCCATGTTCTCTTCACTGATGAGTCGCAGTTTAGTTTAACTGGTGATTCTAAACGTGTTTACATCTGGAGGGATTCAGGAACACGAAATGATCCCTCGAACATTGTGGAACGTGACTGTTTCAGTAGTGGAGGTGTGATGGTATGGGGTGGAATAATGATCGATGGACGTACGCCCCTACACGTGTTCAGCAGCGGATCTGTGACAGGACAGATATATCGAGATGAGGTCTTAGATCCTTATGTAAGACTTCCAGGGGTGCATATGGACCTGACTTTTTATTTATGGATGATAATGCCCGTCCACATCGAGCAAACCTCGTTGATGAATTCCTTGAAAGTGAAGACATTAAGCGAATACCTTGGCCACCAAACTCTCCTGACCTTAACCCGATAGAGAACTTATGGGGCTACCATGGAAGAGTGATTGCACGTATACATCCTCCTCCTAGAGATGTAAATGGTCTGAAGACGGCATTGCTGGAAGAGTGGAGATTAATTCCCCAAACTGTGGTTAACAACGTTATTTCCAGCCTTAAAACACACTGTGATATGTGTGTACAAGTCACGGGAGATCATATTCCATATTAAATTCGTAAGACTTAATTCTTTTTCTGAATCATTCCTTTTTTTCTTAACTCTCTTTGTCACACTTTATTACCATTTTTATTGTTTCATGCTACAATTTTATATCATATGAGGTGATCTTCAATTTTTTCTTTTGCATTTATGTGTCATCATGTTATGTATGATTCCACGAAAGTTCATTAAATTATAAGTCATAGTCTCTGAGAAATCCGTGAATTTATGCATGTAAACATAATTTTGGACATGAGTGTAGTTTATTTTTGGAAGTCAAGTATGTCACTTGAAACTATAAAATGTGTCGCTCGGTGACTTGCAGGTCATAGGTTGCCGAAGCCTCATCTATAATCTATTTCACTATATAACAAAGCCATGCAAAATGTATTGCTGGTCATGGTAACTAACATCATACCGATTTCTATCCAAACAACCAGAGTTTTTGATCATCTTCATCCTTATACTGTGAAGCATTTAAAATTTAAATATGGTTTTATTAGCTTGGGTTCTTTGTAATGCTGCAATTGAAAGAAATGTAAAGTGGTTACATAACCACTTTAAGGTGGTAAAACGTAAAGTGGTTACATAACCACTTTACGTATGTGCATGACAGAAACAGAAATAACACATTTCTGAAATAAAACTCAATGGCAGACATTATGAACAAAGGATAGTAAGTTCAGAACAATTCTTCCTAATGAAAGACATCTGGTCACCTCAGTATAGCTAAGTAGTTCAGGCACAAACTGGTCACTTTACGAAAAGTCTACATTATAAAATCTACACTACATCTTGAAATTTTCACATATTATAAAAATTTACTTTAACTTTAATCCCGCTTTAAAGTATAAATAACATATAAATAAAAATATAAAAAAATGCTATTTTTATTCTTTTCATTTTTCAAATTAGTTTCTTCTACATTATTCGCGGAATATGTTTATTCGGTAATAAAAAAGAATCTAATTTTTGATTAAAAACATGTTTAGCCCTTTTTCCATTATATAAAAACAAAATTAATATTATATTGAGTATGTCAGCAAAACTGATCTGTATTTTAGGAAGAGCATATTTAAAAGTAACCATTTTTGCTAAACATTATATTATGGTATACACTGACTACTAATAAGTATTTGGACACCTGTGATAGAAAAGAAAAACTAACTTTATTCAAAATCAATAGTTGGTAGAGCCTCCACGAGAGGTAATTACAGCGTGTACCCTCCGGGACATACTTTCCACAAGTCTTTGTATGACAGCTAGTGGTATTTTCTTCCACTCGGCTTGGAGAAGACATAGAAGTTCCTTCACCAATTTTGCACGGGTAGTGCACCCCTGAATTCCGCGATGCTACTCGTCCCAGAGGTTCTCGATAGGGTTCAGGTCTGGACTCTGGGCAGGCCAGTCCATTCGATGAACTCCATTGGCACCATAACAAGCCTAGGTTAACGTCGAAACATGACAACTGGCATCGTCGTCCTGAAAGTAACAGGAGTCCAACCCGTAAAACTTCCACAGCGTAGGAAGCACATTGGCATCCAAAATAGTGCAGTAGGCATCGGAGTTGAGATACCATGAATGGGGACCAAGGGTCCCAGCCCATACCAGGAGAAACATTCTCAGACCATAATTCCACCTCCGCTGAACTTGACTGTTGACACAATGCATTCTGGCAGGAGATGTTCTCCAGGTAGACGCCACACCCAGACCCTGCCATCTGAACGGTAAAGGGTGAACCTTGATTCGTCACTCCAAAGAACCCGTTTCCACTGATTTATGATCCAATTTCGATGTGCTTTGCACCACATTAACCGAGCAGCGTGGTTGGACTTTGTGATCAAAGGCTTATGGGCAGCAGCACAACCACAAAACCAAGCAGATGTGCTTCCTTACGGATGGTATTCATTGAAACAATACTCCCGGATGCCTGTTGAAACTCCTCGCGGATGAGGGCCATCGGTTAGGTGCGGTTCTTCCGAATTTCTCTGACAGCACTCGTCGGTCTCTTATCTCCCAGTTTCATTGGTCTGCCGACTCGGGGCACATTCCGACAGCCACCGCTCACCTTCCACTTCTTAATCACATAGGCCACTGTCGATTTTGGGTACTTCAGATCGCTAGATATGTCTCTTAAGGATTGGCCACATTTATGATACCCGATAATTATACCTTTCTCGAAATCAGAGAGCTCCAAACTGCGAGGCATCTTGCATGCGACTAAAGCCGATGCTGTTTCCTACACGATATATACCGGCGGAATCTGTGACGTACCTTAGGGCCGCAAATATTGGCATTTGCATAGGTGTCCAAATACTTATTGGTAGTCAGTGTAGTTTTTATATATGCCCATTTAACCAACAACTGCAAGCAATTTAAAATTCCTTGTATTCCCCATACAACATTGTTTCATTTGATTTTATGACTACTTCAAAAAATTTAGAAACAACTCATAATTTTTACTAATTCAACTATCATTTCTACACCAATAGACATACCTTTCTTGTGGATGAAATGAAAGAAAGGGAAAGACACAATCATTCCTGCTACCAAAAATCTAGGCAACCAAAAATTATTCCAATACCACTTGTATGGGAATTGAACAATTTTACCGCAGTAAGTGTATGGAAACTTCATATGTTTTCTTTCAGCATTCATGATGATAACCTGAAAAGTAACATGTCTTTATTAATATAATATACATAGATATATTTGAATTTAACAAACATTATCTATTCGTAAAAAGCAAATTAAAAGTTAATGAAATTTAATTGCAAACAAATAAATGATTAATTATTGCTGCGAACTAAGTGACAATATCATTTAAATTCTGAGAGTATATGTAATTATGAATAGAGAATGTTTGTTAAATTCAAATTTCATTCCTTGCAGCAATGGCGCAGAGAATTATTTTAATTTAACTATTTATTCTTTTGAATACATATACGTAAAATATAAAAAAATGCGATGGATTTGCTTTTCGCGAACACGCAATCTTTAATTTTCTGCAATTTAGGATCTTATCCCTAGACCAGTACCTTCTAAAATTTGCTAGCCTATTACGTAACCGCTACTATAAATGCTGAGTATGCGCCATTTTTTTAGTCAGATTGCTTCCTAATCTCGCTGCTAAAAGACTCTGTGCTGCCCTGTCCATCTTTTCTTCCTTTGTTAGAATTAGTTATGAGGCTTAAAGTTTAAATTCAATCATACTTAGTTAAAACCACTATGAATATGTAATTTAAAGAGTGCTATCTAAAAGGAAAATGATCTGCTAATTGGAGTAAATAAAAATGGGCAATTAAAAAGCTAAATCAATTTGTGTCTCTTTGGATATCCTCCTTACCACTCTGCGAAAAGCCATGCCTGAACTTTGGTGCTGAGCTTCACGACTGCCAAAATATCACATATATACATACAGTCAAAAGTCTTTAATCCGGACTCGTTGGGACTTCGGCATTTCGGATTATCGATCATCAATTTAAATCTGGTAAAATGGCATGCAGAAATTATAAAATTAAAAATATGAAACCGTAATTTATGAAATAAAGAACAATTATGATCTAAAGGGGTATCAAAATTTAAAAAAGAAAGATTAATATTTATTTGTTTAATTTATTAAACATTTCTTCAACATGCGCATATGTAAAGCATACATTACGTATAGTCGAAATTAGAAAATTGCAACCAGAAAACTTTTTGATGTGTATTCGTGATATTTATAATGAATTTGATTTAAATCATATTAAAGAGAGAGTACATCAAGATGAAATACTACATTTAGTAATGAACTATAAGCCAAATAAAATAAAAACATCTGCCCTGAAGATAAGGATAGTGCTGACAGATCAACTTCCAGTTCATTGTGTGCCGTGACGTTCTCCTCCCCCGCAGAGCAGCGCGAAATTGATAAACAGATTTCGGAATGGTCAGAGAAATAAAGGATGTGCCTTTATCCATTTTTTGCAGCAATTCCACTTTTTGTTTGATAACATCGAAACATGATTTCACTTTGTAGATCCTTTGACAGTATCCAGCATCGGAAATTCTATTTGACATAATCGAAAGTTCAAGCTTACTTCTATAAAATTGCTCTAACAGTCTGCAAAAAATTAATAAGCCAGATCCAATTCGAAGATTAAGGAACAACGCAATTTGCAACATTACCTGAAATAGATAATTAGATAATTTTAGCTTAGTTTATACCATCCGTTATACACTAAACGTGCATGCGTAAACTTATTATGCGCACGCGTACACGCATATGCGCATGAGTGAACGCATTATGCATTGACGCATGCGCAGAAAGTTTGTAGCTTTGAGGTCCGGATTATAGATCATTCCAGATTATGGGTGTCCAGATTAACGACTTTTGACTGTATATAAGATGTACATAAAAATATTCGATTTATATAAATTTTGAACATATTCATTCCAGATGAAATAAGCATGCAAATACTAAATAAAGACTAATACCTAATTATTCATCCCACTACATGGAAAATATGCATCAAAGAAGGCATATCAAAAGTACTGCTTAACAGCAAGCACAACTGCAACATCAGATTCAGACATGGGTGGCATTAGATTTTTTGCTGCGTGCCTTCGAATGCAAACTCTGGGATTCTGATATTTTGCCTTCCTGTTCCTTCCTTAATTGAAAAAAAAAAAAAAAAAAGTGTTGCTCCTAAGCTCTGGTGCTGGTTTAGGATTGAATTTACAATAAACTAAAGTGACTGATTTTTATTTTTTTCAAAAGCCAATGCAGGATGAAACAATTTCAGCAACAACTTTGTCCGAAATATATAATCTAATTATTTCAAAGAATTAATAATTTTAAGGAAGCACTTCCGCAGAGAACCCGGTAAATGTAAACATCGCCAACTTTGGCGATAATAGTTCAAACCTGGTAATCCAGCTAACCTGGTAACCCAGTTCAAACCTATTTCCTATTTGCTTGTTCGAAGTTTGCAACCATTCCTCTTGCGTTCACTTTGTTGAATTATCACCGTCGTTGTTTGCATTTGCAGATTTATTTTTTTTTTCCCGAATTTTTTAACAACGAATAGATAGAAATATTTTTGTAGATAGATGCTGGTTCTCGGTTCGGGATGAAAGGAAGAAAATAACAGCGGGAGGGGTAAATGCTAATTTGTAACACGGCTGTTCATGTTGTGTTTTTAATTATTAACAGCTCTAAGAACCATGAGGTTTCCAACCTCTAAAATAATTTGTTTCCGTAGGTCGCAAAAATGTGCATGTGCATTTTAAATAATTAAGTAATGCTTTTATTTTTATTATTGGTTATTGTCACCTAAAATTATGAGAATAAATCAATTTTTATGGAGTAAAATTTTAACAAGATAATATATTGTTAATGGTTTTCTAACAATAACCTTTCAGAGGGATGGCAGGTGTGACATAAATAGATGATTAAATTGAAATAAAAAATATTATTGATTATCTAAGATGACAGAATAGTTTGATGTATCACCATGGTCATCAAAATTAGCAAACCACTGCTGTGTAAGGAATATGTTGTTTTCTGTGTTAACTGAAATTTAAGACAAATTTTTTTCATTTAACCGGGTAATTTCAGTACATTAATACTAATTTATATTTTTTTAATGAATTTTTGTTATAAATGCTTATATATTGTCTTATGCTTAATATATTCTTTTCTGTGCTAACTTGAATTTAATACAAATTTATTTTTGTATATCACGTTTAACAGGTTAGTTTTACAACTACATGCTTATTATCTGTGAATTTTTACTACCATATGCTTTGTTTTGTCTGCTAACTTGAATTTACATGCACTAAAAATCACGTTTACGGCTCGGCTCATAGTCGATGAACCGCGAGCTTGGCCAGTAAAAATGCAACGGCGCCAACGGGTTCTCTGCAGATGAAAACCCAATTTTAATTTGGTTCGTTTCATCTACTGACATGTCACGGTGAAATCACCGGAACAAACCCTATAGTTCCAAACAATTTTGTTTTTCTATAAAAGTAGTTATTTTAGAGAATATGACAATTGGTGATAAAGCCCTTCTGTAGAGAATCTGGGAAATGTAAACACCAGCAACAGATAAAAGAAACTATAGTGACTATAAGAAAAATCTTTCATTTAACTAAATTTGTCGTCCTCTTAAAATAATCTTAAAACAATTATTTAATACGAGTATTTCATATTTCAAAATATAATATTTAGTATTCTTCTGTTATCCGCAAAAGGTTAAGAAATATATGTATCTATGCATGTCTATATGGATGTATGCCTTCATGTATAAGTGTATATATGTATATGCTCATATACACATACATATATATACACACACACTTCTGATATGCATATATATACTCACATGCATACATTCCTGAATCGGGTCCCGATAACAGAACAGGACCCAATATCTCATTATCAGATTCTTCATCAATATATATACATATATTAATTAAAATAAATTGTTACCACATGCAATTTTCAAAAAAAAAAAACTTTGAAATTTAAAAACTAAAATAATCTAATAGCTATTCTGTTTAATTATCAACAAACTTTGGTTAAGAGTGCAGGAGCGTAGCTAGAGGGGGGGCAAGGGGGGCATCTGTCCCCGGGTGCAGAATCCAAGGGGCGCCAAACTGATGTTACAACATTTTAGAATTAAACGTTTTCCATCCTTGGCAAGCAGTAGGGGGCGCGAAATCTTCAGTTGTCCCTGGGCGCTGAAAACCCTAGCTATGGCTCTGTAAGAGTGACAGTTGTAAAAAAACTTAAAAAATAGTTTTTTGACACAAACAAAAAGTCAATAAATGTAAAATGAAAAATAAAAAAATTGATTTTAGCTGAATTTTTTCTTTTTTAATGAAACTTCAGACATCTTAAGATACATGTGTCTATGTGCATATATGTGTGTGTATATGCATACCTATGTATATATCGCATACTTGAACACGTACATATAAACACATCCTAGACATCGTTTTAACATTAATGGCAAGCTAAAACATTTAAATAAATAAAACAGCAAATTATAAATGAACAGAGAACTATTTGCTCATTACACCTTTAGCTTCCCGATACCTGTCTACTGGATAGGTTACTGTTAATGTAGGCCAATTTTTGCAGCATTTCTCATCAGTACTGAATCTACTTTTCAAATACTTGATATAACACTAACGTAAATATACAAACGATAATTCCAGTACACTGGAAATGTTTTTCTCATTATTAACTTAAATGGGTTTTTTTTTTTTTTCCAATATAAATTTACTAGTGAATCAATATATATATATACAAAAGTACTGATAAATAAATTTTTAAAGAACAGTGAACTATCTTGAAGTACCATGAAAAATCAGGTTCAAATGCATGCATGAATTAATATTTGCAGTTTAAAATATGATTTCAATGTATAATAAAACAATTAGTGCCATTATTTGCTTCCTTGAGATTTCTAATTTATATGAGAGAAACAATTTAAAATCCAATTATGTTTAAGGGCAAGTAGAGGTTACAGGAAAAAAAATTATAACAAACGCCGCGTTAATAAGGGAGAAAAAAGAAGGATGATAAAGTGATATACTTAATTCCAAACAAACAATAATACTTCTGGTATTGTCATAAAGAATTAAAGGGGAGAAAACATACTTTTCAAACTCAGTATAACACTTCCACGAACGTTTACTAGAGCTGGAGCAAACCGCATGTATTCGTTACTGAGTAACGGGTACATCGGTTGACTCGAAGTACCGATTCGGTACTCACAAATTCATTTCGTTACTCGCATCTGTTCGTTACTCGCATCTGTCGTACGATGCGGTTTATTCGAGTCCGAATGATGCGGTTGCTATACGAATACGAATGATGCGGTTTCTAATGCGGTTGCTGTTCCAATACGAATGATACGGTTGCGTCACAATGCGCTCATATTTTTCATAGGTAATTTTGAATTTTTCGGGGAATCGGGCAAACTCTTGTTTACATTATGTGTTTTAGTTGAAATACTATTTAGTTGTTGATATTTAAGAAGATGAGCAACTTTGATAGCGTGAAGCGTTATTTTGTATTTGCTTTTTACATTAAGATTTATGTTTGTAATTTGAAAATTTAGATGATTTTTTTTTTTCCTTGAGCGTGCCATAGTGAGATTTTATTGATTTGAAATATTTACATACTGCACTTGGTATTGTTTATATAAGAATATGTAGGTTAATATAGGTTCTTTACTTCTTTGTACCAAATAAAATGGTAGTAAGTATTGTAATCGAGAAAACTTTTGGGTATCATATTTTAATGGAAATATCCATTTTTGGCGATTACGGAATCCATGTGAATTATTTTTTGGGATGACGTCTGTACGTACGAACACAATGAAGGACTCTCTCTCTCTTTTTTTTTTTTTTTTTTCCAAAAAAAAAACTGATTGTTAAATGTAATCCCATTTACTCTAAACTGATACTTATGACTAATGATTATGACTCTAAGTTGATAGTTGAAAGGGATATTTTTCGTGATGTGTAAGTACGTATGTATGCATTTCGCATAACTCAAAAACGATTAGTTGTAGAACGTTGAAATTTTGTATATGGGTCCGTTATAACATCTAGATGTGCACCTCTCTTTTTATTGCAATCGGTAATACTACCAAGCGTAATATGTATATATATAAATAAATTATAATTAAACGTAAAGTACATATATATATGTCCTTATAATTAAATGTAAAGTACACACGCTCACATATATATATATAAAATAAAAGCCAAGTAAGGCGAAAATAAAAGCTTTGGCTTTTATTTTATTTAATTATCACTAAATAAGTTACTTGACTTTTATTTTCGCAATCATCGGTTGTAGTCAGGACTTAATTTTTAAAATTAGAGGTGCTGGAGCTCTATGGAAGGCCATCAGGAAAGATGATTAAATAAATAAATAAAAATAAAAAATAAATAAAATAACTATTACAATAATAAAATAATTAGCAACTAAAATATTAAATGATTATTACTATAATTTAAAAAAATTAAAGACAAATGAAAATGTAATTAATTCTTAAATTAATGAAGAATAACTAAGTAATGAAATAAAATACCAGACATCGTCTTGTTTAGGGGTTGTGCCTGAAATTGCAATTTCAGAACTAAGCCGAGCATTAACTAAATTTAGGCTTTTGATGAGCAAATAATGTAGTGTTTACCAGAATATAGATAGAAATTTGGTTATGTAGCCCATTCTTCTAAAACGGTGTTTCGTCGCTGCCTTCCACCGCCAATTCCTTTTTTTTTTCGGTTTCGGTTTATTCGGTTACAGCAAAGCACACTTGGGCTATTGCCTACGGGAAGGGAGGCCTTCGTGGAGTATTTTTTAAAGAGAACTGACTCATATGCAAGTTACACACGGGGAAAATCACGAAAAGCCTGTGCAGCTAGCCATTAGCCGGGAATTGAACCCCGGACCGAACTATTAGTGTTCAGCGACTTTACCGCTCGAGCTCTGATGGGCTCCTTTTTCGTTTCATTAGCTGTTGGAAAAACAGGTGTTCACTTTACGATGAAGTAAGCACCTGTTTACTTCAATTAAAATGGGTTAGACGATATGACTCTTACTACTTTAATCTCAATTAGCTTTTGATTTCTAATATTGATTCAATATTTTCAATAGCAGATTTTTGTTGTATTAAGCAGACTTAAGTTCTCTGTTAGCTAGTGTAACATAATTTCGGATTTTATGAGCCTTGCCAGAATTATTAGCAAAATAGTGGAAATGTCTTTACAAAGTGTTTTTGTAAGCAAACAGCAGATGTACACTGAGCAGTGATCAACTGATATATTTCTTAAATGATTTGGTTTGGTTGATTATGACAAAACACATTGGGGCTATGTGCCTAAGAGGAAAACGCCTTCGTAGAGCACTTTCTTAGGAAAGCTGGCTCGTATGGTACGTGGTAAGCTGGCTTGTAAGCTCGGTACGGGAAAAAAAACCACGAAAACGCCTTATGAAGCCAGCCCGTTTGCCTGAGATCGAACTCAAGGTCGGAACTACCAGTGTTCAGCGATTTTACCGCTCGACCGCTGGTGGGCCATTTCTTAAATGAATAAAGGTATACTCATAGCATTATGAAATAACACTGATTGAAATATTTAGTGCTTCACTATTATCTCTAATAAAGTAACATAAAAATTTCCTTACCTTTTATAGATTTCTAAATTTCTTTTAAGTTCTTTCTTAATTCGTACTTAACCTGTACATGTGCGAATGTTTTTATCGATCATATTGTTAAGTGTAAAAAGCAAGTTGACATTTATAATATAGCATTCCTTGTCTCAACAAATAACAGTCTCAACAAGGAGTTTTTAGAAAGGGGATGAATCGGGGAAAATTCACCCTTTCGTCATTAGCGGTTCTGATGAAGAGAATGGGGGAAGCAGCGAACGAAATAACGAATAACGGACAAATAACGAAAGTTAATCTTTAATGCGGTCTCCCAGTTTCTGTATTTGTATTTGGGAAAGTTTTATGGTCATTATGAAAAAGTGAAAATTTGATATGGATTCCGCATGACTTTCCTTTCTACGACTATTTAAATTATGCTTATTTTTTGCTGCACTTCATTTAAACTTATTTCCTCGAATTATTCTAACTCAATTAAGCGATACCCGAAGGCAAGTTACAAATGGCATCAAACATTTCAAATTTTGAAACTAAATTTATGGTCAATCTTTGTCCTACGGGACTCAAACTTCTTGTATTTTTATTTTTTCATAACGAGTATAAAACTTTGCCAGATATAAATATAGAAACCAGAAGACGACATTAAAAGTTAGATTTCATAATTTGTCCAAAATTAATTCTTTTTAAAATTTGACATTGACAAAATATGAATATTTTCGTCATTTAAAATACTTCTGTATTTTTGTTGCACCGTATTTAAACTTGCTTCCTCGAGTTATTGACATTAAATTACATTAATTCCATTATCTATTGGAAAATAATTATAGCTAATCATCTATTAATAGCTAATCATCTATTTACGACATCTCTAAGAGGTCACTTCTTAAGAGATCTCTATTTTTGGGAACATAAACAAACATTGGTAGTGAACATCACTTTTTTAAGACCACCACATGTAAAATCCTCTAAAAGCATGAATGGTTGCATTTAAAGAGGACCCATTACTTTTAATAAGGAATGTAACATTAATCTTAATTATACATGTTTTTGATGTGTGTGCCAAAATAGTGATACCGTACTTCTGTTGCTTTAGAAATGTGTGAATTTAAAAAAAAAAAATGGATACTATATACAAACAAAAATGTTATTATATTCAGATACACACCTTTTGAACACGTCTGAAATTCATTATTCTGCTCAACATAATTTGTCTGCATAAAATATTAACTAGTATTAAAAAATCAAAAGTCGAAGTAGAAACAGTCATCTCTTCTAAACCATTTTAATTGAAGTAAACAGACGTTCGCCTTATCGTAAAGTAAACACCTATTTTTCAAACAGCGGATGAAACGGGAAAGAGGGAATTGGTGGGGGAAGGCAGCAAACGAAATAACACTTTTTCGAGCTGGGGATGAAATGAGAAAGGACGAAACGATACTAAGCCAATAAGACAAGATCTGGTATTTTACTTTATTATTTAATTAGTCATCATAAAATTTAAAAATTATTTTAATTTTATTTGTTTTTACATTTTTATTAAATTTTACTTATAAGTATTTTATATTTCAGTTGCTAATTATTATGTTACTTTAATTATTCATTATTTTAATCACTATTTTTTATTATTTTAATTAAAGTTTTTAATAAGTAATTTTTTATTTTAATTACTAATTAATGTTATTATTGTAATATTTATTTTCTTTCTTTCTTTTTTATTTTATTTTTTCCTATTTTCCTGACGGCCTTCTGTAGGCGCTTCTGATTTTAGAAACTAAGCCCTGACAGCAATAGAAAAATTTGAATAATGAATCATATCCAGTGCACCAAAAAATAATAGCCAAAATAAAGTGAATTTTTTCTACCCAAAAATATGACGCAAAAGACGACGAGGAAAAATACGACCTATCGCAGCACTACTCAGTTCCCGCGAGGTAGAATAGCTCACGTGATTCAATGCGATGCGACGTTTCAAGGCCCTTTTTAGGGCCGTAGACCGATAAAATAGGCTCAGGATACGGATACCGATCGATTTTACCGAAAGTAACGAGTAACGATACGATAGTAACGAGTACCGGTTCACCGAGTAACGAATACATACGGGTACACAATTTCTCGTTACTTCTACAGCACTAACGTTTACCAGCGATTTCTCACAACACAGACAAGCGCTACAGCCAAAGAATTACAGCCAACATCCAAGCTCTCATTGGACACGACTTATGATGTCATATAGTGACAGCATCTTTTCGCACCCGAGGCCTACGTGTCTCGACAGACAGACAGACAGACAGACAAAGTAGACAGATGTCTTGTTTTGCACCCGCTAAGTCTTTCTGCACCGATGGGCGAAAAATCAAGCATAGGTGCGAAGGAAAGGTATATAGAAAGAGGGGCAATTTCGTATTTGAGGAGAGTAAAAGGGAACTTCGTACATTTTGTACGAGTTCAAAAGGCCAGAAAGAAAAGATGGGACAAAATAAAATTTAAATTAAATGGCCCAAAAATAATAGAGGGAAAAAAAAAGGGCCTATAGAAAGAAAAGGAAAAGAAGTAGAAAATACCCTAAAATACGATTGTGTCCATGAGAGTAGTTAAGGAGTTCATCTGCAAAAATTCGTATCTTTAAGAAGCAAACTTTAGCTAAGTTAAAAAAAAAAAAAAAAAAAAAAAAAAAAAAAAAGAATGAATGAATGAATTTCTACATGGTAATGTGTATGCCGTTATCTTGAGACCTAACAAGAAAAGACATATATCATCACAGAGATGTACATAATATTTTAACTAAAGTAACATTAAACATTACCGTTCCCAAAAAATTCATGTATATTTCATAAAAACAGTAATTGACAAAATCATAAATCCATACACAGTGTGAGAGCATTTCAGCAAAAATAAATTACACAGTTTATTTTTCTTAAATATTAGTTAAATATAAAATTAATTTATTAATTTAACCATTGTAATTTATTATAGTACAACTTTAACAAATTCCGTCACACTGTATTTATATTTGCTCATAATTCTAAGTTTGAGACCTGAAAAAAAAAAAAAAAAGTCGAGGATCTTAGTTACAAAAATCACAATCTATACTCATCGTTGGTCAAGAGATCCCCATTTTTTCCCTCTCAAGAAATTCCTAAGCACGAAGAGGGGGGCCTCCGAAGGGTGTGAATTGCTGATAAGAACGGACTACTGATAAGGAATGTGGCGTCTGTTCGGAATAGTTACGAAGAAAAGAACCACATGACTTGCTACTATTACTAACTATTGTATAATGCTAGAATCTTATGAAAAATAATAAATAAAAAAAATTTAATTGCACTCTAGTGATAGAGAAACATATATTGTATAGAGAACAGAATGTTACTTATCTGAATGTTCCGTGTCAGGGCCTCTTTTGGATTTCTCGTGTTGATAGTAAACAGCTAACAAAACACCTGAAGTTTCGATGAAGCGAAGTTTTCTTTTTCAATTTGATGAATGAGACATTGCATAGGAAAGGTGCATTAAACTTTTTTAGAGAGTTGAAAATATTTACTGAAACAGTTATTTAAAAAATTTCGGAGCTATGTTTAGACACTGCCTCCAGCTTTCGTGATCGCAGCGCCAGCATCCCTCCGTCTTCATTCATAAGATCGCCTACGTGTCTCGTTCGCACCAAAAACTTGAGCCCGAGGCGATTTTAGCGCTAAAAAACGGGCGACGCTAGAATAATTTGACATATTTGCGAAAAAATTACAAAAATAAAAAGCAGCTTCAGAAACATATTTTTAATATACATGGTATTACAAAAAAAGGTACAATGTGCAGTCGATAACTGTTTAGCAATATTGGATATTGTTCGGAGAACAGCCTTGGTCACACCAATTTGACTTCTATAAGGGTATGGGTTACATTTCATTATGTTCTATTTTTAATTTAACACTCTTCCCTGTCACTTTGATAAGCAAACAGTAAAAACGATATATCCCGAATACATACCCCGATTTGCTATACAGATAATCCCTTAGCAAGGGAAAAGTAAGGCTACTATACTACTATCTCTAGTAGCTCTGGGGAAAAATGTTACAGCTGTCTTCCTAGAGGAAGTACGTCATCGGATGACAACCATACTTTACTCTACCATAATAAGATGTATCTCCCTTTTTTGGCGTGAAGGCTGTTTTCCGAACAACATCCGACAGATTGTGATCGTTATACATTTTTTAATTCCCATAAACTCATCATTCAGTTTGTATCATTAGCTTAATTTTAATTTAAATAGGAGAACTCTTTTACGATATATTTATTTTGCTTAGTATTTCAAGGTAAATTTAGCGTATCACTTAAAATCTTCAATACGAGAAGAAACCGTGTATCTCGTGGTTGCAATTTTATCGTAAAAATGACGCAGTTACTAATCTGGCAACGAACTGTCGCATTGTGTTATTCAGTTTTAATGGTGCCACTTTTCTTTAATGCAAAGTTTCTGAAGAAATCTGCGTTGCCCATCGGTAAGTAGAAAATTTGTTCGACGGAGTGGTGATCATGTTTAGGGAATAATTTATGTTTGAAGAAACGTGTTTCAGAATGGAAACAAAGAGCGCATTAAATTTAAAAGTAAATTAGTGATATCTGCTTTGGTTTGAACTTGTATATTGCATAATTGTAAAGTTATCAGTCATGTTTTCGGAAGTTCGTATTAATGCTCAGAGAATATGCAGTTTTAAAGCGGTTTATTCATATGTATAATATAATAGAATATCTCAAAATGTGATTTGCTGTCTTCGAACTTATTGTGTTACAAATTGTATTAAAGAGAGTGTCGTGAGGCATTGTGTGTTATAAAATGGAAAAGTAAACAAAGTTTTAAAATTGGAAATAATTAATAATTTGTTTGTTGATGATATTCGTTCTTTGTTTCTTTAAGAAGTGCTAATCTCTGAAGATTCATTTTAAATTTGATTGTGGAAATATCTATAGCGGAAGTTAATGCGAAAACAATGGTTTCTTGGTGTTTATCTGTTTATAAAATATATATTCATTTCCATGATTGCCATTCAGATGCTATCTATTGAAATTTAATATGTTAAATAAGAATGAAGGGGGGAAAGTGTACAAAATTCTTAAATAATAGGGAGGGGAAATGAGCCTACAAATAGCATTTAGCTTTTGAAGTTATTAACATCTTATCTTTCCTGAAATTTATTATCATACAGTAAGTTTAGGTTTTAAAAGCCAGATGTTCATAAATTACCTTGCTATTTATTTGAGAAAGTGTAATGCATTTTTGGTTTGTGTTGTAGGGCTTAATTGGAATGCAAGCCGAGCTCAGTGGTGACCATCAGAAAGTTAAAATTCTTTAATATTGTGATTTTAAAAGAAAAAATGTAGTTAATATTTTTTAATTGTTTGTTTTTTCTTTATAGCCCACCTGTGTCATTACTTTAAAATTCAACGTGCATGCAAGAATATAGAACTTTGTATATATTACTGTAAAAAAAAAAAGGTAAGTATTTGCTTTAAATTAAAATGCTTAAGTGGAATGAGCTGAAATACCTGATTATCCATGCTAATATATTCTGCCAATGCATAGTCAATGGCTCTGTGTATCATAAGAAAGAATTTTTTTAATATACCATGTAATCAAGTGTTACAGCATTGAATTCTTGATCATGTCTTAAAATCTTCTTTCTCCAACATATTTGTAATTGACAAAATTGTTCTAGTTAGATACCGCACATTTTTTTTCTTTTCATTTTTAAATATTTGCAGGAACTGAAATATTATAGTTGCTGTTTGTTCTATCACCATGAAACAGGCAATTTATTGGGGGGGGGCATTCTTATGATTGCTTATTATGCATATTCTTCTGAATACAATTCTTAATAGTATGACATTAGCAATTAGCAAAGTGTCAGATACTTTTGAAGTATTACCACACATTTCTAGTGCTATATTCTTGCTTATTGGGCTATTTATTTTTTCATGCCTTTGGCTCAATAATGCTGAAATAGAATGATTAGGAATAGCAACAAAGAAAATTCTGTAATTTCATGACAAAAATCTTTCAAAAACAAATTGTGGTCGAAAAATAGTGCCTACATATATATATATATAATTTATTTCCTAAACAGTATTGATTAATTGATTATATTAACTAACTTTGCAGCAATTGCGCAAGTAATAATAACTTGTATTCGCACTAAATGGATTTAAGATCATACAACATTATATATATATATATATTTTCCTTTTTGCCAAAAATCAATTTTTATGATTTTTGTAGTATCCACAAATATTAATGCAAGGAAAAAATAAGAAGGAATTGGCACGTACCATCAACCATTCTGTTATGATTCATGTAAAGCAAGCCTTGGTTAATGAAATTCAATAGACGTTAACTTCTGACACTATAAGTAAATGAATTATATAGCATCAGTAATGGGAATGTGTGATTCAATAAACCACATTGGTGTTCGGAGACCTTTTTCATCCTGGCATGAACAAAAGTGACACTTGTTTATCTCTTGGAAAATTCCAAGCCGTTAAATTGATTGTAGTAATTAAAAACAATTAGATGAAAATTTTCGTTGTGTGAGTAATCGTTTAAACAGTTATTACCAGGAGGAAAGCCAACCAAATTAGCAATATCCAGTGTTTAAGAGGTATGCCAAAACAAACAAAAAAGCATTATGCTGAATGCCTCTCATGTTTGTGGAAAATTTCTGACAGAAGAGAAAGCAGCTACAAAACACAATTATTTTATATGTACTCAGGCATTACAGTTAAAGGTTGAATTTAAAACTTTTCAGGTCCTGCATTAAAGATGCAACATTAAAAACTTGCTGTTTGGGGGGAATTTCTTACTTTCCAGAATGTTCAGTAAAAAGTACATGAATGTCTGGAAGTTATACTGTAGTTATGCAAAGACAATTACTTAGTATATGTTAAAAAAGAAAAAGAAAAAAAAAAAAATGATTTGTTGTTATTTTTCCTTCCAGGAAAAATTGTACTAAATGAAAATGCACAGTAAGCAATTTTGTAACTCATCTTCCCTCCCCCACCCCGAAGGTGAATTATTTTTATTTCATGTTGTTAAGACAAAAAACAACTGAAGCTTTTTTCAACAGATCTTAAAAATTATAAAAACCAGTGCCTTTTTAAAAGAAATATTTTTACTTGAAATGATTCCCCTATTTTAAAAGAATTGTATGAAATTTTGTAGTGTTTGAGATAAGGTTTAATTAGAACATGGGGGAGTGAGAGAGGTAAATTTTCAGTTTTTAATCTAGGAAACATTTTGTCGTTCTAGAAATTATTATATAATAATTTATTTATTTCTACTTCTTGTTTAAATTTGGAAATTTAGATACCAAAAGGAGTATCAACCCATTGCTATTATCCCTTGATATACAGCATCAGAGATGAATTTTTCAGCCCTTGTGTCATTTTTCACTTTCTTGTATAAAGTAAAATTTGATGATGTTTTTGTATCTGTACGTAAGGATAGAATAAATGACTTGCTTTCCACAAACAAATTATAAAACTGATTTAAAATGGGAGATTTTTTTCATGGCATCTGTACATGTGAACGTATCTCACATAACTAAAAAACGAGTAGCTTCAGAACATTGAAATTTTGTATATAGAACTGCTATAACATGTAGATGTGCACCTTTTATTTTGGTTGCAATCGGCCGCACCAAAAGTATATAAATATATGTATATATATATCCAGTCCGTTACTTGGCTCAGTGAGCTCAGTTTCTTTATTTTTATATGTTTGTAAATTGTGCATAACCTGCATGCAATAATTATGGAATTATCAACAATTTAAAAGTTTTTTGAGTGTGGCTAGGCCTAATTTTTGATACTATAGCAGCCATGTTTGTTTACATTTGAAACTTAGCAGAATAGTGGATTTGTTGCCAATCTAGAGAAACTAAGCTTCACAACAGCAAAGCAATATCTTCTTTTATTATTGCGAATTAAATTATGCTTAATCCATTCTGGAATTATACATAAGTTATTAAACTATCCCATGTATTGACTCAGCATAGCATTCACAACAAATTAAATCAGTTTCTACACCTTCAGTATATTTTTGGCAAGTGAGATCGAAAGTAAACTTTCAATTTTGTGCACCAAAAAATCTGCCTTCTTCTCTGCTGGCCGAAATGCTCATTTTTGCATAGAAACTGTAATTTTAATTGTAAAAAGAAAAAAGTTCTAACTGTATTTGGTGTTTTATGTTTTTCTATATCTTTCAATTTTTAATATAGATATATGTAATTTTGCCTTATCAAGAAGTGAGAACTGAATTAATTGAATGCGAAATATATCTCTAATGAAATTCAAGAAATAAGCTTAAATGAAAGGTCGGGAAAAAATATGTTTAATTTAATATCCCATACAAGGAAGTCGTGGTGTACACATCAGATGTTTTTTGAACTATTGATATTGTTTTTCATATTTTAAATTTTAATCTGCAGATACTTGTAAAGGTGTTTAAAAACTTTAAAGTGCAAAGAAATCTTTAGGTTATGCATTTTTTAAATAAATACTGAAAGTACTCATTATACAAAAATAGATGAATCAAGTTTTTGAGTAGCTAATCATGCCTCTATTGAGCATCTGATTAACTGGATATGTATTGGTGACAGCAGGCAGTGCTAACTTGGATCTACTCTGTGGGTTTTCTGTACAACAGAATATGTATCTGGAATGGGTCCTTTCTTACATTGGCCTGATTGCTAATAAACATACAGATATAGTCACCAAAATTGTCTTTATAGATCGTATTCACATTTAATGTATTTTTAACGCATAATCTTTGATAACACGTTATAGTCTTGAAGAAAAATAGCTGATAATAAAATTTGGACCTCTTCTTCTGATCATCTGTGGTATCATAGGACACTCTTACATTCAAAGATGACAAATCTGCAGATGGTCTTTTTCTTTGTCTATTTTAGACTTTTCTGATTTTTTTTTTTTTTTTTTTTTTTTTTTTTTTTTTTTTTTTTTTTGATATTGTTCTCTTCAAGCTTGATTTTTCCTTAGATTCTATGAAGACACATGGACTTGCTCTAATTTTGGTAGACCACTTAACAACTAAGTAACAATTGCAATGCAAGAATGTTTTAATAAATAAATATATGATTTCTTGTATATAAAAATTTTTCTACACAAATAACCTTTGCTGGGAATTGTTAGTTGAGGAACTGGAAAATAAATTAATGTGGATCATGCTTTTTTTTTTTTTTTTATCTAACCTGAATGATACATGGATAATCAGTGCATAATTTTTTTATTAATTTAACTTCATACAGTTCCTGTCATAAATTTAGCTAGTTGTCTGATGTTTGTTGGAAATAGCATTTTCCTAGTACAGTCAAAATTCGTTAATCCGGACTCGTCGGACTTCGGCAATTCCAGATTATTGATTTTTCCGGATTATAGATCATCAGTTTAAATCTGGTAAGATGGCATGCAGAAATTAAAAATATGAAACCGTAATTTATGAAATAAAGAACAATTATGATCTAAAGGGTATCAAAATTTACAAAAAAAAAAAAAAAAAAAAAAAAAAAAAAGCTTATATTTATTTGTTTACTTTATTAAACATTTCTTTCAATGAAAGTTGTTTAGTTGCTTCATTTTTATGTTATAATACATTCTCTTTATTCTATAAACGACCAATTTCTTGTCAGTTACAAAGTTCTGCTGTCAAGTCCTATAATTGCTGTGTCTACCGACTAATTTGTCAATCGAAATTTTTTCGTTTTCAATAACCTCTGTTACTTTCTTCGCTATCGAAGCGAATTATAATGACGAGAATTGATTAAATCATCAAAGACGAGTACATTGAGATGAAATACTACATTTAAGTAAGGAATTATAGCCAAATAAAATACATCTGCCCTGAAGATAGGATAGTGCTGACAGATCAACTTCCAATTCATTGCGCGGGGTTAAGATAAACAAATTTAATAAACAAAAACTAAAGTTAGATAAAAGGATATGCCTTTATCCATTTTTTGTAGCAATTCCACTTTTTGTTTAATGAACTTCGAAACATACTTTTGCTTTGTAGATCCTTTACATATAAATAAATATATATCAGAAATTCTATTTGACATAATCGAAAGTTCAAGCTTACTTTTATTAAATTGCTCTAACAGTCTGCAAAAAATAATAAGCTAGATCCAATTCGAAGATTAAGGAACAACGCAATCTGCAACATAACTGAAATAAATAAATAGATAATTTTAGCTTAGCTTATACCATCTGTTATACCATAAACGTGCACTCGTAAACGTATTTTGCGCACGTGCATAAGCATATTCGCAGCTGTAAAGGTCTTACGCACATGGGTCAACGCGACGCATGCGCAGAAAGTTTGTAGCTGTTAGGTCCGGATTATGGGTGTCCAAATTAATGACTTTTGACTGCATTAAAAAATAGAATTTGATAATTTAAAATATTTATTTATTTTGTGTATTGTATAGTGTTTTATTTTTTTAAATGAGTGCAGCTAATATAATTTCTAAAATAAAATAGAGATTATTATTAAACTAAATATACAAAATGATAGCTGCTATGTCTGTTTAGGAAGCATGTAATTAGTTTGTGTATTCTTCCTTAAATATTGATATAAATTTCTGCTTGAATTCTCTGTAATTTATTAGTAGTCAAAAATAATTAGTAATAGATATTTAAAAGAGTGTCCTTTTAGTATAAGGCTAAGTAATTAAGAAGGGACAAATAGCTTATAACTCTTTGTCATTTCTGTACAGTGGCTACAAAGAAAATGATTTATGTTTTATTCTGTTAGTTTAAATGAAAAAGAAAACCTCTGCTCATCCAAGAAGGCAGTTTGGTGTGACAAAACTGAAATGTAATTAAAATAACCTATATAAGTAAGTAATTAGATAAAATATTTAGGTTGTTTTCACGTACCAGGCATTGAAATAATAATGTTGCATAAATTAAGCATTTAGATCCTTAATTTTAGGGCTTTAATATTTTATATGCCTATATCAAGCATTTGATTAATTTAACTAAGCATTTGATAAATGAATAACTTTTTTAAAATTTCAATTTAGTTCTGGGAAATCTTAATTCATTATTTCTGTAAGGACTAAGGTACATGGCATGCAAATAAAATGGGCCATAGGATATTATTTAATGTGTTGGAAAATTATTAATATTGATTTACAAAATATCAACACTAATTTCATCATAAAAGCAGTGAATTAATTATATATTTTATTTTAATATTGTGAAAGTCTTTAAGGAGATGTATTTTAATTTTTGCAAAATACCTGAGTTTTTAAATCTCTGCATATGTAAAATTTTCAACTGTTTTGTCAGACTTGTGAAGGCTATGAAAAACTTACTTTTGCCTTCTTTAAACTGATTACAATTCTTTAGTGTGCTAACAGTACAAAATGGATACTGAAATGAAATCCAAGATGTTAATTTTGTTAATTTGTTGTAATTAATGTTGTAAAGCACTTATATTTTATGTGTTGATAATAAATCCAAACAAAACATTATGTTGACTTTTGAGCAGGTAACTAGGAAATACTGTTAATTCACCCAGTGTTCTATTCTGGGCTGTTGAGTAGGTTGGCTGTATGATATTTTTGTAGTTTTTCTCATGTATAACATAAGCAGAGGTAATTTATACTGAAAGGTTATCTATAAAGACATTGTCATAGGTAGTCATTTCTTGCATATTTTTACATTCAAATAATCTAGTCAAATGCAATACAGTTGACTGGCAGTCTTTCTTTCAATGTAGCTCTTATTACTGGTATGTGTAGACCAGTAATCTTATTACTGGTATGTGTAGTCATTGTTTCTCAAACTCTTATTGTATAATGATTGATATTCCTGCTTTAAATATGTCTTTTGGCTGAGAACTGTTTTATTCTGAATGGAAAAATGTAAGGTACTTCTTGTATGCATCAGCTGGTCGCAAAATTATTTGGTGATGCTTCAGGCCTTGCTTAACTAAAAAGTGAAGGCCGATAACTGAAACTGTATTATTGATTTTGGAGTATTCATCCATTCCTAAGTGTATTGTGCAAAATCAAATTTGTATCAAGGTTTAATAATGTTTCTCAAATGGTAAAGAACAGACTTCACTTTTATAATTATTCCAATTTACAGTATACAAGTGACATTTCGAATTGTCTGTGCATTGTTTATGTTTCGGATATTGTTGTTATATTTGCTGTTTTAAATCTCTCACCAGCATTGGTAAACATGAATCTCTTGTCAGCAGACAAAATTTTATGTTATTATTGCAGAATATTTGATATTATTTTGAATTCTACTTTTAGATATTCACACTTGGAAATATTTTTCAGTTCTTAAGTTTTTGCATTTGGGTGTAGCATTTTAGATTGTAATGTTGGTAACAAAATAACTAGGATGATATTCCTAGATTAAAGCTAGCATGCATTTTTCCCCTTCAGATTCCAATATCTGTACCTTTTACCAGCACCTACTTCGAGGAATCTCTGGCTGTTTCACCAGAGGGTAAAAAAGAGGTCTCTCACTTCTGGAGTTTGCACAAAGTTGTCACCAAATAAGCACAGTTATGATAAACTGTTAGAAAGAAAATTACATGCATGGTGATCCAACATTGGGAAGTTCTGTTTCTTATCAACCTGCTTACTTGAGAAATATGCAGAACTGAAATTAGTGGTGCATTCTCTTTATGTGATTTGACTTTATTCTCTTGATGTGATCTTTAATGTGAGTAAATATTTTCAAACATCTATGCATTACCAAAATGGAGAAAAACCTATTGGAACTATTTAAAAAATTCTAAATGGCTTTAGGATCAGTATATCAGTTGAAAAATGTAGGATAAGAGTCACGTAGTTCCTCTTTTATGCTGATTTTCGTGGATAAGCATTTTAAAAATTATTTTGAGTAGTTTTGGAAAAGTTGGCAGACACATGTAAGAGAAAAATATGCAGCTATAAATTATATGATAACCTTCTTCCCTTTTCCCTCTGGACTATAAATCTGCATCATGATTTCCAGGATAGAAGAGCTTTTTCTAAGATTTACATGGGTATTGATTTCAATCAGTGTTGCCAGAAAAGTTCAACTAAAGTAGCAAATGATCACGTGATTTTTGTGACGTCATAGTTACGCCAGGTGCACATGACCGCTGATGTCATCATAAATTTACTGTTTATTGGTTCTCAGTTACAGACTGAGTTCAATTTTTAGTCTTTTTAATTACATATCTTAGCTTTAACTAAAATTTTAAAACTATATTGCTCATTTTCAACTGTTTAAATATCCATATCTTTTTTAATTAATTCTCATTTAATTTAGGTTTCAAATTTTAAATTAATTTGCAGATATCCATTCTTAAGAGATTACTTACGTTTAGACTTTTAGCTCTTTTGTATTAAATTTTTTGAATTAGCATTTAATTTTTTTTTAATTCTTTTTTTTTTTTTATCCTTAATTGTGAACATTTTAATTAAGGAATGCTTTTTCAGTTGAGTGTTTCCGTTCTGTGGTGAATTTATTTCAGATTCTTATTACTTAAGTAATAAGAAAGCCTTTTTCTTTTCCATTGCTTAGTTCTTAGCAATATTATAATCAGGACTATAAATTTCATTTATTTCTTTTTTTAGGTACTAAAATATATGGCACACAAGCTGCAAGTTCTTTGGTTCAATTCATTAGCACCTTAGAAGACGGGGGAACTGACTTGAAAACAAAATGCATGGGGGACGAGGGAGGGTGGTGAAAGGGCCGAAGCATTTATTTCCCCATTTTACTTTTATCACTTCCCTTACCCCTTTCTCGTTATATCAGCATCAGGCTGTGCAGCTTTGAAAAGGAATGCCAGCATCTAAATAACATTGCCATCTGTCAACTTCTAATTAAGCCTAAATAAACTATTTTTAATATAAATTATATGTAATTGATAAATTATTTTAAAATGAAAGCATTTTAAGATATATTAAAAAAAGCTTTGAAGTTGCAAAAAATAGCATCAGAAAATGACGGATGTTGCAAATACTAAAGTTTTAGTAGCACAAGTGTGTCAAAAGTCGCAAATTTGCACAAAATCGCATGATCTGGCTTCTGGAGCAGATTTCAATTCCTCCTCTAGTACTTTCCACTTTCCATCAGCTGTGAATGGTTTGCACCTAGAAAGAGCTCTTTTCAAGAGACTCATATAGACATAATAATCTATAGGTGAAATAACAGTTGACTTTGCAGGAATAGGTTGAAAAGGGATGTAGGCAATACGTATGTCAGTCTTCATTTTTTCAAGGGATGCAACGATACTTTTTGAAGTACGACTTGTTGCTTTGTCTTAATGAAATTTCACCCTTTGAAAGTCATTGGGATAAAGAAATGGAATTCCTTCTGATCGTATGTAAAATTTTCTCTCGGTGGTATTTTGTTGATTTTAATATTTTTTCCCACTCTTCTTATTTTTAATTTTCCATAATAAGATAATCCTGTGTCAATCATAAACCTGTTACTGAAATATTTTTTTGCATTGACAGAACCAGGTTTCTAATTTTTTCCCCCTTTGTTTTCAATAATAAATAGACATTTTTTGTTGCAGTCATTCAGGTAAATCTATGCTTTACCAAGGGTCACAGTGTATTTTCATTTATCTCCTGCTAAATAATTTTCATACAGGGTTGTACAAATTGTTCTGCATTGAGCCACATGCCTCAGTAATATCTGGTGAACACGATGTGTTTTAACTTTTTTTAAGTTGTAAATCTTAGTTTATTATTTTATTTATTGTTGCCAAGCAATAGAAGCAGTATGCACAGTTTTGGCGTATTTGTTTGGAACGTTCTTTGTATGTAGAAGTAATGGTTGATGGTTTTTCCCTTTCTGATTAAAAATGTTGCCTATTTCACACTTCAAAATTTTAATGCCATGGATTTCTCAATGTTTTTTAATTATAGAATAGGAATATTTCTTTCATAAAATGCAAAAAAACATATCCTTTAATCCATAGCTTGTTTACATGTGAAATGTTCAAAGAATAAATTTAAAAATAGCAGACAATATTTAAATTAATAATAAACTGCTGCTAGAAATTTTTATTCCAAAACATTTTCTTTTCTGTAATTCTCTATTGAAATTATTCTAAAAATGTGTAAACGCCTTTTGTAATTTTTTAGATAGAAATTACAAAAATTAAAGATAAGTAAAAATTTCAAAATAATTACTTCATTATTATGGGCTTTGAATATGCAACAAAAATTCATTAATAAAAGTAGTTTATTAACATTAGATTCAGGCATTCCCAAAAACTAGACATTCAAAAATATATATAATTTTCTACCACTTCCCAGTAGTACATATATTTTCCCTAGAATTTGGTAATGGAACAGAAGATACTAAATGAAATTCTAAATACATTGAGTTTGTGTTATCTTTTATTGCTTTTAAAGAAAAATATATATATACATTTTATATTTTACTGTATTCTTTTTTTTCCTTTCTTTTCCAGAAATATTAATTTCAAGACTAACTCAAACTAGAAATTTCTGTATGAATTGATATTTATATGAAACTGTTGACTTAGTTTTGGATTAATAGAGCAAATATGGATATTCAAAACATGACTTATGAAATGCAGCAGGAACGGCCACATGGATGTGATATCTGTGGTAAGAGATTTAAAAAGGGAAATCAATTAAGGCAACATTTGATAATCCATAAACCACCTGATAAACGTCCATATAGTTGTTATATATGTGAAAAAACTTTTAATCGATCTCACCATCTAAAGCTTCATGTAATTGCTCATACAAAGCAAAGTCCATATAGATGTGAAATATGTGGTAGAGGCTGCAACCAGATGAGCAACCTTAGACGTCATTTGCAGACACATGAAGCTGAAAGAAATCATGTATGTGAATACTGTGGAAAAACCTACGTGGAAGAAGCTACGCTGCAGAAGCACATGCTCAAACATACTCAGAAGAATATATTTCAGTGTGATTCTTGTGATAAAACTTTTTATAAAGCTGGAAACTTGGAAAAGCATGCCTTAGTTCATAATGCAGATCGGCCATATATGTGTACCCTGTGTAATAAAGGTTTTGTTAGAGAAAGTAGCTTGAAACAGCATTTGGTAACTCATACAGAAGATGAACCACACAGTTGCGATGTATGTGGACGTCGCTTTCGCCGGCTGGGAAATTTCGAAAATCATTTGATTACGCATACTGGGTATACTCCACATGTCTGTGATATTTGTGGGAAAAAGTTTTTACAAATAGGAAGTTATAGGCGCCATCTACGTACTCATAATGAAGTGTTAAAAGAAGCCACCCGTATTAAACTAGAAGGAACGGTTGGTGATGAGATGTACATATTACAGGATGATGGTGATATGGATGATGATGATGACGACGACGATAATTCAAATATGTTGGCTCCAGAAGTTTCTATTCGGGAATATGATGGAGAAAATGTGGTATTAAATGCTGTAGAAGCTGATGCACTTATGATTACTGAACCAGATGGACAAGGTAATGTGACTGTAATAGGATCTGCATGTTCAATGGAAGGAATTCAGAACATAAGTCATGATGGGAAAGAATATTATTTAATTGAAGTGAAAGAATGCTCTTCAGAAAACGGGGAATGCGAGACTAAAGTATTTGAATAAATGTTAATATTTTGACTTCTTGCCAAAACAAATTTGTGCAAAATTAGCTTTCTGTTCTGAAAATAAATTTAGTTTAAAATTGTTGCTTCAAGTTATTATGAATAATAACACCTCAAAAATGCTACACTAAGAATTTATACTATCTTCAAAGAATTCTATTAAGTTTTGGAAGAGGAAAGTAAATATCACGCAGTTTAATAATTTCAGTTTTCCCAAGAAATAAATAAATAAAATTTTAAACATTTTAAGAAAAATTAGAGGAGTTATGGATTTCCATTAGTTCTGATGTTTCTGCTCTTTTAAATATTACAACATCAAAAATTGTTTAAACTTCAGAATTACAAATTAATGTTTTAAAAAGAAGTACAGTGTCCTCATAATGTAAAATGATCATCTGTAGTACACCATAGCAAATAATTGTGATCTTGAAAATAAAAATGGAATTCATAATTGTACCTTACTATATAAGCTACCTCTTTATGGATTATTGGCAAATTAATTTGCAAAATTTAAGTATTCTGGTAGTAAAAAAATAATTTTAAATTTGTACTAATCAATATATAAAAATTTACTTTTTGTTGCATTATTTGCTTCCATTGTTATAATCTAATTAGACACAACATTTCCTATGAATAAACTAAAGTGGGTTATAAGTTATTAATTTCATTTCAAACTCCTGTTTTACTATTTTTCATTAACAGCAAATATTTATGGAAGCTTTCAGTAATAGTAAAATAAATATCCCCCCTAATTTTCATGGAGTCATTATGAAATTAAAAGGAATCTTACATGGCAAAATAGATTATACATAACATTTTTAAATATAAATTTAAACAAATTTAAATTCTTAATACGTTAAAAAAAATTAATTCTAAAAAAGGAAAAAAGCCAAAATATTTTTTTTAAACTTATACATATTTGTTAAGAATTTAAATTTGTTTGAATTAACATTTTTAAATATATAGTATTTAGTTGCAAATCTAAAAGGATATGCTGTACGTTTATGAATGCAATTACATTAAAAAATTGTACTTTTCATCTTTGGAGCATGTGAAATAAAATATTATGAAATCTCTTATGTTAGCTACTTCAGAAAGTATTCAGTATTTCTGAAAACAGACTTCTAACTAATAATTCTACTTTTATTCTGTAAAATGACTCCTTCCTAATCCACCCAAGAATACCAATTATTTATTAATTAATTATTAGCAAGAAATTAATATTGGTTTGTGCAAATAGAAGGCATTATGTTTGTTTTATTATTCTGTCAATCTTATTATTATTTTTTCTCTCTTGAGATTTGACAGTTGACTTTTACAGGTTTTCATAGTCAGTTTTAACATGGGTAAAAAATAAAAAAAAACACCACTTTCAACATATTTTACTTTTTCATTTTCATAAATGCAAGAAAATGGCTGAGGCTCACAAAGAGATATGTGAAGTTTAGGGTATGGATTGCTTAACAGAATGTATATGTCAGAATTGGTTTTAAAATTTCATTCTGGAGAATTTTTCACTTAAGGCATTCTTGTTCTTGAAACCAAAACACAGGCAGGCTATAAGGTCAATATGTTTTAGGCATTCATATTCTTGAACTCAAAAAAGGCCTAATGTACACATGAAGTGGTGGAATCGATGTAATACTACCGTTTGTTTTACAAGACAGCTAAAAAGGTCTGTTCTGAAATTAAACCAACACTTGACACACTAAAGATATGAAATAGTTACTATGGGAAGAATGATTATCTCTACACGCTTTGCACTGCAAAAACAATTCATTAAAGACTATTTTGAAAAAAGAATAAAAATAAATTGCATAGGCATTTTGTGAAGCGTAACTTGCAAGAGTTTGTGATTTGGTGATGAATTTATGGGTAAAAATTGCTGACAGCTGTGTTGTCAATTACAAGCAAGCTATAGGTATAAGAAATGCTCCTTTTAACCTTGAGTGACATGACTCCCTTTATTGGGTTATGAGATTTTTTGTCAGTATATATTAGTTCATAATTAAAAATATTTTGCTTTCTTACTTTGATGTAATTATAATCGTAATGAAGGTAAGCTTCTGAAAACAAGGACTGAAATAAGGAATTATACAAATTTAGCTATTAAATGCTTGTGAGCAGATTCAAAAAGCTGTGCCACTCAGAGAGTTAAGAAAAACTGTTTTGCTACACGTGATAAATTGAGGCACAGTGGCTAGTGTGTCGCACAGCTGCACCACAGGTCGTATGTTCAACACCAGCTGGGCAAGGTTGACTCAGCCTTTCATCCCTTGAGTGGGTCGAATAAAATGAGTACCAAGTTCGCTTGGGGACTAAACACCAGGGTCTTGCGACAAGCTGACCACTTATCCAGACCACATGCACCCCAGGGCCCAAGGTCAAGAAATCAGATTCCGGTACACTGCACGTCATGGCCCACTGGGGCTGTTGTGCCACTGAATTTAGTTTAGCAGACATGAGAAATTAGGGTCGAGTAAATCTTGCAAGAAATTCAGACTGAAATTTGAGGTTAGGAGCTTTAGTGCAAGTGTTCCAGAGGAAAATGGCATGATGATATATGAATAATGGTAGATTGTTGGATAAATGTTAATTGCTGTGCATGAAAAAATAAGATATTAGACCTGGTCTTATTTAGGGGGAACACAGTTATTAAATTTAACATAATTTTGAACTAAGACATAAATACCTTTATTTTTCATTTCAATAACATATCAAAGTGAAGCAGCCAATAAAGGCCTCAAAAGACGAACTTAGAAAAATACAGTTTTTTAAAAAATTAATAGTTTTTTTTTTACAACTTGGTCATTATCTAAACTGTTGAAAAATGTTTATGCATGTTAATTCAGAGCCCTGTTATCTAATACAGTTGCCATTAGGCACATACAGAAATGGCAATTGAAATGCAGATACCAGAATAATCCACAATTCAACCTAAACCAACTCTCAACTCACTAAAGATATGAATTCATTGATTTAGATGTGTAGACACCTAAATCAATGTCAAATATTTTAATACCTTCTTTGTCCAGTATCTTAAGGGGAACTATCCAAAATGAACTGAACGCTTAACTTACATTAGAAAGTCAGCTAACAGCTAGCAACAGAAAATACGAGCAGTAATGCGCAGGAGCTACCAGATGTGGCCTCTTTGTTATTCAGGGCTAAATGGCTGGTTCACAGCTGAAACCGGAAGAGACTGATGACATAATTGGATTCGCTTGCTAATCTTTGAGGTGCTTAGAAATTGATAAAACATGTTTGTTTCTTTCGTATTATGATATATATTACTGCAGGTAGCAATGGCACAGGAGACCATTTTTTCATAGTTCCTCTTTACAAACACTTTTTAAATCTAAATTCAATTAAAAAATATCCTAAGTTATAATTTTCAAGTGAAAGGAACCTCTTTTTCTTAATCTAAGAAATAAAAGATCTAAACTTTCACACTGTGGAGCTCTGTTCAGTACACGAACACAGTGATGTTCCATAATATCTGGTATGCTCCACAAGAGGATTCATGTTGCCATTGTTCCCCTCAAGAGGATGACCCATCCCTTCTCTTTCTTTAGCCCTGTTTGTTCCTGCAAGGGGGATTGGGGTAAATTCTGACATAATGAACAAAGCCCATCACCAAATTTGTTATATACATTCTAAGAAATAGTATCAAAAGAAAAGCTACGAGATTACAATACGATAACCAATCTTTAAATAAAACAGGAAAACTTGCAGAAACATAAATATGTACTATAATTAAATCAACACAGTAATTAAATACTTATTGTACTTATACTGTTTGCACCATATAAGCAATATTAGAAATTATTATAGTCTAGGTATTAAAAAAGTGATTGTTGAGTTTGTGGTACTCTAATGAAATTATGTCTCTGTACCTAATGTTTTTTTATTTTAATCTTTTAGCTGCTTAAAAAGATAGTGTTTCATGTATCTCTTGCTGTTCCTCTTTTAATAAATCACTTTCTGCTCGCACTTTTTTCAACAAACTTATAGAAATTTTGAAAAAAAAAACAATCCCACTCCCCATTAATACTCAGGAGCACTTATAATATTTTTCATAAGAGGGAAATAGACTAGTTTTATGCTGCATTAAATCAATGAAAGTAAAAGTGAAGACTGAAATTATTAGTTGGTTGGTTTTATTAAAACAAAAGGCAGTCATTTCACAGAGTAGTAGTGATTTTAGTGAATGATGAAGCCAACATAAAGAGGACAAGCAAGTGGAAATTAACTAAGATGTCTGGTCAGCACAAATGGTTTTCACAGATGCATGAGGGAAATTAATCGTAAAGCAGATTGCATATAGAAATCTTTTGCTGAATTTGGTGGATAGTGCTGAATATTCTGATTTCAGTCACTTGTCAAAATGTCAAGTGTTAGGAAGTACTTGCTGGGGAAAAAATTACTTAAAAATGCTCAGTGAAAAAAAATTTATTTAGTCAATGAAGAAGAAAGTCAGATGATTTCTTGTTATTTACTGAATTACAATCACTCTTTCTTATGCTTTTTTGCCTTGTAGAAATCTTTTCTAGAAATGTGCAACTCGCACAGTATCTCCAAATCAAATGATTTCACTGAACATAGTAATTCAAGAAATCATTGCAAGATTTCAGCAATTTCATGTTCTTGTTGCATCTTCTTTACAACATTGAATCTTTTAAATGATAAACAAGAGTGTCAACTAAATCATGGTAACAATGAGGAATGAGGGAGTATTCTTCATTGAGAGAAAAAGATTTCATTCTATAGAAGATGAAATAAAGATGTCAGAAAAAATATCCATTTGAACTTTTTGTGTATTTTATTAAATGCAGTATCTATTATTTAGTTTCAAATATAGTATTACACTCTCAATTTCCATACAACTGTTATTAAATATGAGAAGAGCACTTCTAAGTAAAATCTCAGTAGAAATTACTCAAAAAGATCTACACATTTCTGAAGTCTTCAATTACTGTACACAAAACAGCAACTGATTAATGAAATGGATTTCAATAATATCAATTGCGATTTTGCCAAGGGAAAAGTAAGTAAAATAACTTTTTAGAATGTTAAAAGTTTTAC